AATCTATCGACAGTATACATACATAAATAGAATAACAATTTATCAGAAATATTAAAAAAAAAGTAATTACATGTTATTTTGGGTAAGTTTTTTTCATTTTTTTTTCTTTCCATAAAAAAATCGGGTCACATTTAATGTTTCCCTAAATTACGTACTTAGTTCAATTTGTGAGATAAAATATCGGTTAAATAATGACACGTGCATTTTTTTTTATTCTTTTACAAATCGGACACCATTTAATGTAGAAATGAGTTTGGTCAATATATTTTTACCGTACTTCTAAAGTATATTTCGAAGTCGGGCTTTAATATGTAAATTTTGTTCAAATTTTTTTGTTTATACAGTGTATTGTAGGTTTTTTAAATTTCATACTAAAAATGGAAGGATCTGGTTTATTTTCGATCTTTTATCCAAATTCCCATTTTTTCAGTCGAAAACATGAAAACCAAGAATGAAATGTCTATTTTTCATTTAAATATATGTTTTTATTCGCAAATTTTGTAGATATGAGTCTAGTCAATATATTTTGACTGGATTTATGAAGTTTATTTGAACTCTCGATTTAATTTATAATTTTCGTTAAATTTTTTTTTCTTACAGAATAAACATGAAAATATTATGAACTATTTTTCTTATATACAATATCGAAAGATAAGGATTGAAATTTGAAATCAGACTTCAATTTTCACATATATATACTTAGATCTACAAATGATGAACAAACAGAGAGATATTATAAGGTTATGTTTGAATAAGAAGTGTTTTTATTTCTCAATAATTAATGACGAACATTTGATTTATGTTTCTGCCAACTCATAAATTATGCATGTTGATTCTCCAAACACGGCATAGGAGGTTAAAGCGTTTACATTTGATTGCTCCACCCATTTTCATGGTTGACTCGGCTCAGTTCAGAAGAGAAAGCCACTTTAAGTAAAGGTATGGCCTTTAATTAAAAGTCTCCATTTTACTTACATGAAATTTTATTATATGTTTATAGAGTTTGGAGTCATTTACTCATTTAGTCCTAAATGTTCGACTAAAATGTCATATTAACCATGTTTATGTACATTTTGATAAAGTTGTCTCAATTTGCTGAAAACTCAAGTTTTTTGTACTTGTTGCCTTCCCGGGACATCTTTTGCAAATTTTAAAAATAATATTAGGTTTTTAGTTGATTAGTTAATATTACAGTCTAACATCAATTGGATGAATATATTGTTTTCATTAGGATTCTTGGAAGTTAATAACAATATAAAATTGTACTTTATTTTCAGTTTAAAAATTATGTTGATATATAATAACACATTTCTGGTCTTAATTGTTTTTACCAGGGTTCAGACCCCCCAAAAGTGGAGAAGGTTGATGGTTATAACCGTCAACAAAAAAGGGCGCCCTTTTCTGTTGATGATATTTTTTGTTAGTCTTTCCCCCTGTAGGTTCTTTTGCCTTGCCGAGGTGTCGGCCCCCTTTAGGTTCTTGCCTTGCCGAGGCTCACGATCTTACACAGTGCTCCTGCCCTATGGTGAAAACCCATCTTTGGGCATTATGTGGTTTTTCGCCCTTCCCCAGACTCGAATCCTGCACCCTAAGTATAAGGTGGAGTTTATGGCAAGTCTGATACCAATCTCTTATAAATTTCAGTTACATCATATAGTACAGTTATTCACCAATCTCTCGAACCCTACGACCTAACTCTTCGAGCCATATTATTTTCAGCTACATCATATAGTGCAGTTATTCACACTTTAAATAAATTTCATATTGACCCCTAAGGATCAAACTGCAGTCATTTATAAATTTTTAAAATTACAATTAAACACTTAGAATTTATCTAATTTTCAAAAAATATACCCTAGCCCCTAATTCCCAAATTTTGATTTTTCTGTCCCCACTGGGTCCCGGCAGCTGCCGGCAACACCACTGTCCCTGCTTGGCCCTCCTCTACAACATCTGTTGCCATCCCCAAATCCTTCACCATATACTCCGCAAAAACCTCTTGGCCCAAAATCCCTCTCGACCATTCTCTTCCCGAACAATTCCATAGCCATAGTCTTAGTGGCCCGGCCACGCATAACCTCTAGAAACTTCTCCTTATCCAGTCCGAATTTCTTGGCAAACACCAGAAGTGTCTCCCCAGTCGAGAGGAGCCGCAAATTGGACGAAGCCACTTCCTGCGGCAGCGGTTGGTACCAGATGACGGCAGAGAGATGCAACAACTAACCAATAGCCGCTGGATGGATGGAGTCGGAACCAGTGGCATCCGACGAGATGCAACATGTACCAGTGGGCGACAGAGAGATGCAACTGGAACTAGCGGACATCGGCGAGATGAAAAGGGAAGCAGCACTCCGGGAGCGAAGTCAGAAAGGGGTGGCAAGCTGATGTTGACCGGTCACCGGCAACTGCTTATAAAGTCCAATTATTTGACAGTTATTCCTAGTTCGTTAGCTCTATTACGTAAATTGACTTTCATGAATCAGGAAAGTGGTGGTACACAACACCATCCTACACAAAAGTACTATTACTACCACAAGTATCTCAAACATCTACTGATGCAATCTTCAGTATATTAACGAATCCTCCTCCCACCAGAACCAACCCACTCTACAATTTGAACACACCATGTTTAGAAGCAGTACTAATTTTTTACAGCCTCTAAATATAAATAAGCTTGAGTTGAATCTGGTGAAACTATAACGTAAAAAAGTAAAATCCTGCTTATAATTTGCAGTCTAAGTTCAACTGTCTTATCTCAAAAGTACAATCAACGGCGGCTAGACGCAGCCAACAGCTTCCCACGGGCTGAAAAGAAGAAAAATCCCGAAGCTCTTCGCCAAGGCAGGAATTGCGGTTTCCATTGATAGGGCCGAAAAAAAGGGACATGCAATTAAATGAAAACCCTAATCGGGTGAAGAAGGAGCTAAGAGAATCAGCACGTACCGACGGTGAAGTCCTCATCGGAGACGGCGGAGGCACCAGCTGCCCGCCCGTCGGCCCACAGCGCTTTTTTTTTCTCTCTTCTCTGGTGTTCGTTTACCCTTTTTCCTTTTATTTTCTGGGATTCTATATTTCTATGTTCTGTCGCTCAGTCAGTCTCTCTCTCCCTCCATCTCTCATATTCGATGGCTCGGACTATTCTTATTGAACTGGGCCTATGTTTCACAACCTGGACAAGCTTTATACGACGTCATTGGGCCGTAATCTCTAAAAATAAATATAAATCTGAAAGAATAACTGGATTGATTATCAGATGGAAATACAAATATTTTGTTGTACTTAATTATAAAAATAATAAAATGATGAATGATGATTAGAAAAAAAAAAAAAAAAAAAAAAAAAAAAA